CTTAAACCTGTATATTGGCCTGTGTGTTTCTGATAAGAAATTCTCAAATCAGTGAAGACACAAGTATTTTTTGTGTATGTTCTTGTTCAATCCACAGTAAATGTGCTAAAAACAATCCAAAACAGAACACGGTAGTAGAAAAATCACAAATGAAGGCATATTATGCTCGTTTAGTGATGTGGGTGCATGCTGGTTTGAATTACCATAAAAAACCTTAGCTCAACGGAATCCCTTGCTGTCTGATGGGATTGTGTCAATATTGTATAGGCGATCAAATGCATGCAAACTCGTGTGCTTCTTAAAAGCTCCCCTCTTCCTTCAAGTAAAAACTGCTGGTTTATTTTTCCTAGTAGAAGTATTCATCCCATGCATCCGTGCCTGTGCCCTAGCACTCTTTTTACAGTCTGCTAAGAACAAGTGTCCCGTGAAGATGTGTGAATCAGGCAAACGCACAGCATGCCTCAGCTATTACCATGTAAAATCCCCTCTGATCATAGCTTGAAAACATATCCGACCAATATTTGCCACAGCACTACCGCGCAGCGTCCAATTTTTTTTGTATCTCTCATCCTCCCCCCTTTTCCCAGCAGCAGAATAATAACCACAAGCACATCTTCCACTCGAAACCGCAAAATAGGTTTGGCACCTCCGTCTCTTAGGAGTCTGGGTCTCGGAGTACTGTTATCACATGACCTACATGACCCGGGCACAGCACAACTGACCCCGTCTGCAACTCGGGAGTCTATTGCAAAGACTCCCGGGGGAAAGATGCGCCGAACAGCAGCGATCATTAACCCTTTTACGTGTTAGATGTTATATCATATACTAGTAATAAAGGCTTTATGTAAGTATTCTCTGATATCATCTACAATGCCTCTTCCTTTTTAGGAGGGGGTCCATTCCCCCTCCTCTTTATATGCGAGTTTTCTACTGAGTTCTGTCCTACGTCCATATCTCCTGTAAATCAATCGCAGTCAACTGTGAACTAGTAAATGAGGACCCGCCTATGTTTATATACATAGAAGCTAAATATAAGAACATCTTCATTACATTAAAGAGGACACAAAAGTAGGCCCCGTACACCTGGTTTGACGATACTAATATTTTATCACAATTTGTAAGCCAACTTGTAATACCTATTGTGTGGAATAACTGCTGTAAGGTAAATTAAGGCGAGCATACTGAAAACCAAACTAAAGCCCTTGGATGATTCTCACAAATAACATTTTTTTTTTGCTCAAATGTTTGCTAATTATATATTTTCAGTTACTTGTGAAAATATTAAATGTATAAATATACTAGCTTGGGATTTTAAAGAGTGATTTTCTCGAATCAAATATACAGCATTAAATTCATTTACACACATACAAAAACAAACCCGTCTTTATACTTCCCGTTTATTGCATTCAATTGTCACTGCACGTATACAGTAGGCCTACTACAGTAGTTAGAGTTTAAAAATGTTTTTATCACCGCGCCACGATATTTTTTCCCAATTCAAAGATATGGGCTAAACAGCAGACATTACCCCCACCTTTTACTTTCTCAGATTTTTAAGCGCAGATTGAATTTCATTTCCTTCATATGGCGGACTCTTCCCTCGGCCTGCCCCACCAGTATTTTAACAGTGGGTGGTCTTCATTACAACTTGCACAGTTAAGGCGCAGTCCGCGCAGTCAGAAGCGAAAGGGATGGGTTCTGCACTTAACTCCCTTTCTGTGAGTAACCTCAGGTTTTGCAGATAGCTTCACCCTTAAAGGCAATATAATTAAACCTGCGTAATGAGTTTTCATTAGAGCTGTGTGGCTTGTAAGAAGACTGCTAGTGCTCCTCACTGCACGGATGAAACACTCCTGAAATGCAACACTGTTGCTCCTTTTGTTCAGATCCGAAAGGTTGTGCGATACCCCGGTGTTCTGCAAGACCTTACAGCGGCACTTTTCGTTTGTACAATGGACGTGCGTCTTCAGCTCAAGACACGGTGTTCCCGTTAGAATCTGTAAAACCCACTTACTCGAGGGCTTTTCATCTCATTGTACCCACTTTAAAGAAATTTGTTGGGGGGGGAGGAAAATCCGAGACAGGTGTTTTAATGCAGTGGGAAGACATTGCCTGAATTGCTAACGGTGCCCGGGAATTTGATGCTGCCAGGAATAGGTTAGTAAAAATGCACCAACCTGAGACACATTATGATTGAATAAGGTGTGCTTGCCTCAACAAGATATTGAATGTCAAACTGAAATACTTATTCGGTGTTGTGCTTTAGTCTGTCGTGCCTGAATACAACTCGTTTAATTGACTTAAAGGAATAATGAAGGTCACGACGTTGTAAATCAAACTTCGGATTCATTTTTTTCTTTCTTAAATATAATTTAATCATATACCAGGTCTAGGGGATTGAGAGTTATTCTCTGAAAGCATTCGAGTAAAGAGCTGTGGAAAAAAACTATTTTTTCCCAGTTCAGTTGTTCACCACCTGTAGTGTACAGAATTGTATATATTAAAATGTCATTACGAAAAGTAGGGTCAGAATGGAGAACTATGGGTTTTTCTGGTATTCGGTGACTAGAGAGGAGGCATACTGAAAAATATGACAAAGAATATTTACTTATTAGTCGATTAAATTTTGTAGTAGGGGTGCTGGACATAATGGCGTTGAAAATGAAAGTCCACACCTCGTGACTATAAATAATTTAGGATTCAATGTTTATGTTAAAAATATAAAGGTTTGGGAGCCCAGGCTTTATAATCATATTTTTTGTAAAGCAAATGCAGATCTGTCAGTAACCTAAAGTTAACACTATATGAAACCTTTTAACATTGGTAAGAGATTATTATCGACGATTGAGATATTAAATGTCTGAGGAGATAGGAAATTGAGTTATAACTGAAAAAGACTTAAGACGTCTTGAATAAAAGCATCATGTTAAAGGTAACATATTATTAAAATACAAAACAAGTTGGAAGTATTGTAATTACCATGTGTGAATATTTTATCGGATACCAGAAATATGATTAATATACAATGTAAGAGTCTGCGTCCTCCACGGACACATTGGGGGAAAACTGATATTATCTTACGTTGTAAAAGTGATTCTGATTGGTGGGGTTAGACAGGAACATTTATAATATTTTTCTTTTGGCAATGGAGTAATTTAGCAATGTCATTCCCATGTTACTGCGCCGCATCAGGAGCCTGAAACAAGTCCCCTTTACTGACAAAATGTACAACAAAAAGATTAAAAACTATTGTCTTGGGACCCTTTCATATTACGTTGAATACTGTGCATAATTGCCATCACTTTTTATATTACTTCTCTACAGATAAAAATGACTTAAATGCTCGAAGGCTGTACTTCCTGGGCAGAAATAAACTGGCAACTCAGTTAAATAAACATGTGATTGTATAAGTTTAGGCTATAAGCTTAAAGCTTCTTATTTTTAACGGGGAAGAGATTCTGAAAGACAAAGGCTGAACAAAATGGCTTTGAAAAAAGAATGCACCCTTAACATTCAGGAGATGGTATGCAATGTTCACTTTCATCATTGAATAAAATGAAAACTAAAACATTTATTTTCAACTTTTTTTCTCCGTTAAACGTATAGTTGTTACGCTGCTGCTTGTCGAATCGCACCACGGCTTTTATCACTATGTTTCTAAAGCCTGAAGTTACTGCATTGTTACGTTTTGTCTGTAAATAAGTTTTGTTTTCCGGACTTTAGGACCCAGTGTATTTCCAAATTAACGCACCTGTGCAATAAATTACAAAGCTGTTGCTATTACTTTCCGTAGGTAAAATGCAGTCGACACTGACTTACGACTTAATGAGAAAAAAAACCGTTGAAGAGGTATTTTTTGAGGATAGCTAACTTTTTACATTTAAAACCTTCTAAGATTGTTCCTCAGCGCAACTACGTTTTATATATTGAAAATAAGGTGTGTGGTTTCATTCATCCAGATAAATGTAGAAAGTCGTGGATTCTAAACTTAAAATAACAACAGAAAGTGATTGCGCAAGTGTTTTGAAAAGAAAGATTGTGAAGTGAACACATCAGAAGTCTAACAATTGAGAAAATCATGTTAGGAAACGCTTTTTACTCTCATCACTCATCACCATTTTGGAAATACTTCAATCAAATTGTATTAATTTCCATCCCCAAAACACATAGAGATGGATTGAGCAACAACGACTAAGTGATTCGTTAACTAAATATAAAAATGAATGAGCAGGACATAGACCATATTCATATTTCCTGTTTCGCAATCATGAATTTGGTACGGATTCTTAAGGTAGAACAATTGGTTTATCAAAATTCACGTTTGTTATGAGATCGTGGCACCCTGTCTAACGTAAGTTAGTATTATAGTATTATAGTTTAAAACTCTTAATGGAGATTCCTGATACATATTCCAGTATCTGTTGCGTGATCTTTTGATTTTGTGCTCATTCAAATTCAATACTGAAAAAGATTACTGTAACAACATATTTGAATTAAATGTGTCCATTAGTATTAACAATCTACAAATTCATTTAAATAAAAAGTATTTTAAGTTTGAAAATCTAAAATAGTTATCTTTATTAAACTACAGTCAAACGCTTTTACATTAGGCTATAGCAAACGGTTTAGACAGCTCTTCTCAATTTTACTTTTGCATTTAAAATTTCGCTTTCACTTAGCAACATGCAGTATATTTAGCAATCACGATAATCAAACGTATTCATAATGAAAATAATTAACAACAAAGTTTTAAGGCTTCTATTAAAAAATATAGGTGCTAAGTTACACAAATGGACAGTTCCAGAATAATATTCATGACCATGTTTGCTGTAGAATATAGATTAACATTTTACAGGACTTAGCTTTCCTGTGAGATCAAAAATGAACATACATAAACACACACAAACCTGTTAACACAGAACCTTAATTTAACCGATTTAAATACCATTCTTGTGTATTGACATTCGTTGCAAATACAATACTGTTTCTTAGAGGGAAGATGTTTTCAAAAGTTCAGTTTATTGAATCGTTCTTTATTATACAGATCATAGTTAAAATATATCGCCTAAATACATACATTAAGCAAGTTGTCTTCCGGCACGAGTTTCTTAATACACCCTGTAACACAACTTTACAGAATACAGCTGGTTTTAAACAATTAACCACTTTTTCATCACGTTGTCATTAAGTAGGCTATCTCTCTGCCTTAGGAGATCACGTGAGACTGAAAATTAAAAGTAATGAAAATTACATATTTCAGATTTGACACCATGAAAGAGAAAAAGCAAAGTTAATGAGAAGACTGGTATAAATGCTTCAAATCAAAGTTGTGTGTTATGTTCAGTGTCGTTAACTATAGCTTTTCCTTTCTGGTGAGTTGAATATGCTGATTCGTTCATTTTGGCAACTCGACATTCAAACTTATCATTAAGCGACAAACCCACCAGAAAACATCTGATATCGAGCACTGCCACATACTGTAACTAGCCTTCGGTTAACATGCTGGCTGACAAATACTAAAACAGGGAACAGAATGGCATTTGCCATTTTACTCTGTTTTATTTATTTGTTCATGTTTTACACTTACACGGGTTCGATAATGCCAAGTGTACTATGAGACGAGATGTGTACGTGTACTATGCACGGCCCCCTTCTTACTCACCTGATACAGGCCCCGCTGTGAAAGAACACGCTCTTACACAAAGTGCTATCGAGGTGATTTAAATGAAAACAAAACATTAAATTATCATCTTTAATATCAATTTAAATCACTCACAACTATCAATTAAGTGTAGTCCTTTGTATTTTATGACAGTGTTCTACACTTTGTAGCACACTGTAGTTCTTGGCCTTTTCACACAAACGTATACACATCTGTCTGGTGAAAACAAATTCCACTTAGCGATTGCAAAGTTTTACGCTTAAAAATAAAGTTTATAGAATAAGCAAAATTGTAAAAGCATGTGATTGTTCATTTTATTTTCACACTCAATGCTTTGCAATACAACCTTAAAAATGTGTTTATCGATACCAGAAAACACATAACAGTTTGTAGTTCTAGCCACTCCTTCTCAGTAATTATCTTAAAATCGCTGGTATCGCCGCTCAAAATGAAAAAAAAAATCTTTCACTCTCCTTAACGTTTCTAAGGGTCACATTTCTTAATTGGATTCTGTCCAAAATTATCACCCCGACAAATACTACTCTTTGTGTTTATTGTTGAAAATAAAAATATAGTCAAGTCATTTTAAGCATGGTGAAACATGCCTAACATAAAAATGTGATTTATATAACTAAACAAGTTAGCAAAAAGTATTAAATATTTCTAAAATATTTCCTGATATTTCCTACCTGTGTAGGGTGTAGTAAATAGATTTGTAATGGACTGGTAAAAAGTCGGACTGAACAACTTAGGACATCTTCTATTCCCTTCTGATTAAAAAAAAAATCTATTATAATACTCATTATAAAGATCATAACAACGTACGTATGCCATCAGATTTAGTAAAAAATCAGGATCCTAATAGACATTTGTTATGTGTACAGTACTGTTTTTACCTAGGCTAAGTTCAAAAGATCTCGACTTTTAAATCGTAACAAATTGACCTACGGAAGTGTACTTTTTGAATCCATGTACAGTTGGAAAAAAATCGTTTTTAACGGCTTAATTGACCACACTCTCGTGCATATCGTTTTTCACGGTGCGATTGTCTTTAAGACGTTTACAGGGCAAGTGAAACAAACTGTTGCTCGCGTATTTAGGATGCATTTTAAGAACGATATAATTCCTTTTGTTTTCGTGTTTCTTTTTTAACTATAGGATTCAGGCTGTGTGGCTGCCCTAGATATTAGACAATAAGGGAATGGTCTACATCGGGTCTGATGCTGTTCTAGAGCGCAACGTAACCCAACAAAACCTGAAAACTAAAGGAGCAACTGATTCGCTGTTCATGTTATAATTAACATCCAACGCCTTCGCAGAAAGTAATATTGTAGCGTTCATCTCGTTTCATGTAACTTTTCTCCTTATGGACTCCATTACGACACACTGTAACACAACTGATATTTTAAGTTTCTTCTTCAGACCGATAATTATTTACAAAACATTAAAACAAACTAGCATTCCGACAGTTTTGCTTTGTCCGCAGAAACTTGTTAGTAGTAGTTTTCTCAAAAGTCTTTTCAAAATATTTTCTTCAATAGTTTCATACAGCAGATCGCATTTACCTAGCGCTACATTTCCGTCTTTTTAAACGACGCAAAAAAAGACCAGTGATTGCACAGATCTCCCCTATGTCTGACGCAGTTAGTTTACAGCGATCGAAAATGAAAACGCCGTGTATTTTAAGATCAAAGACCCAGTCACTGTTATGTCTACCGTGTTTTCGGCGAAGTTACAGTGTTGTAGCTATTCGTATTGAGCCTCGCAGCCTCTGTTATGTCTGAGGCATTGTCGTTGCGATGTGCAGCCACTGTGACACTGATGGATGCGCCAATGGTTAGACGGACAGATGTTTGGGCGGATCTAACGGCATGCAATGCTATAGCGGCACACGGAGAGAGATTGGGCTAAAAACATCCCGAATCAGTGAAAGTCAGTTCTTTCTCTTCCCAACACAAGCCTGGCCGGCAGTAGCACAGGGATCGGATATTCTGCTCGTTTCCAAAGGCTCTCTTTCCTACCTTGGTTTGATCGTTCCTTCTGTGATCAGATAACTGTGACTGTTATAGTGTGAGAAGAGACCAGCGAAATGTCAACGGCATGGAATTGAACACATTTGGCAGGAGAAGCAGAATTTGACAACTCACCATTTTCTTGTTTGCAAGAAATTATTCGTCATTTTTTTTTTCCCTCACAGACAGTAGCCTTCCCCCCAGGGAATGGACCGTTGCGTTTTTATCCTAAAGACGATCTGAAAAATACGGACAACTTATCCACCTTTTTTTTTTCCTTTTGAAAAGTATTTCGATTTTCCTTAACTTGAAAAATAAAAATAAAAAAAGAACATACATTAAAGAAAAACCCGCCTATGTAAGATGCAAAGAGGCTGCATCTGTGCAACTGTAATGTATTTGGAATGATCCCAGATCTTGAACGATGGGGATATTTGGCGAATTTTGATCTTACCGTAAAAAGTGAGAGCGGTCTTTTTCCCTTCTGTGCTCAGAAAAACAAGGAAATTGTTTGTTACTGAATTTCTGCCTGACTCTTTTTAAGCGAAGACGGCATCTGGAGCAAGGAAGTCGCCTCTGATTTGCTGTTCCTGTCTTTAAATACCTACTATCGGCCACACAAAGAAAGGGAAAAAAAGTGCTATTAGCAGCCAAGAAAGTGTTTGGCAAAGCTGCTGATCCATGTTCATAAAGCAGTTGAAACACAGTTAGGGTCCATCCCCTCCTTCTGATGTACATTATTACAACAAGGGACACCCAATCAAGCGCGTATCTCATCGATTCAGACCGCTCTCAAATGGATTTTGTATATGCACTTGGGCAAAATAACCCTGTGAGCCAGTCTATCAAAGGCAATTCTGTCCACTTCTGCTAATATTTGCCTTCCCTTCCGTGACATCGAAAACGATATTCAAGTACAGCGCGAAGGGGGCTGCAAGTCACTTGGATTTTCATCTGATGGCTTCAGCAACCAGCAAAATTAAATAGGCTACTAGCCTGCTTTTCAAATTATGTCTGTTTGGGAACAGATTGCACATGGATAGTCACCAGAATAAGTGAGTATACTGTTTATTTATTTAAAGACGAGTTATTCGCCCACTCCTTTTGAAGACATGCAACTAAATAGCAACGCTGTTTGGAAAATTGTGAAGTGGCTAAGTAATTCATACAGACACGTAACCTACCCTTCATACGCGTACACGCAGATACACAACCATTCGTATAGGAATGGCTTTTAAGTGATCAGCATTCCTCTTTCGTAGCTTTATCTCAATTTTTTTTGTACGCGTATGCGCATACTTCTTCGATACCATCGCTGTTTCTGTTATTTTGAACATATGTGTAAGTGCCACTCCGTACTACAGTACTTATGTGGAACGCAACCCTTTAGCGTTATGATTAGATTAAACACACAGTTGCACAATTAGACCCCATACTTGAGGTTTGAAAGTCAATTCAATAGCTCGAATTAATCAAAGCCTCTTGTTAGCCTGCGGTGAGAAGACGCGTAGTGCACACATGACATAACAGTTCGAGGTACAAGGAGTTAATGTGACAGTGCTAGATGTTTGCCCCTGTTTGCAGACTTTGAGTGACGCGATCATCTCGTTTTCCTTTAAGCTTGCCTGTTGCAGCTCCCAGCGCTGAGTGAGGATCGCACTAAGGCAGAAGCTTTTTTCACTGTACTATCCGTCTCCACACTGTGATATCCAAGTCGGGGGGTGCGGAGGGGGGGAAGAGAGAGAGAGAGAGAGATCAGCCTCTCCTTCAGATCTGCCTTTTCTTCAGTGTCTTGACTTTTTGTTTGAAAACTGCCGATCTATGCCAGCCTGCTGAAAGCGCCCCAGGTATCGTGTATGAAAGCAAGGCAATCAAAGAGGAGCGGACCAGCTCGGAATCAAGGCGGCTAGAGGAACTCTTCAGAAACCCTAAAACAAGCATGCCGCGGAGGAAACAACAAGCGCCCAGGCGCGCAGCAGGTACGCCGCACGATTTCGCTTTACATTTGCTCTTTTGCTCTACATGTGATTAAATCGGCACTGATGACACTGCCTCTGCGCTGTGCCATTATTTTCTGTACTTTTTAGGAAATGTACGATCGCTTGCTTACATAGGGATGATTGCTCCACGGAAGTTTTTTTTCCCCTCTCTCTCCTGTAACAGGACAGATACAAGGGTCCTTGGGAATCTTCTGGAGCCGTTATTACTAGGAGACGTTGCGGGTTTTTTTGTGTGAACTTTTCTGTCCCCGAAGTTCACTACTAGATGAAATACGTTTCGCTTCTGGTCTGGCTTTTACGAACGACAAAGGCTTCTGGGGGAACTGTTAGCATATCCCTGTAAAGTTAACTTGGAAGTTTTGATATTTCCCTTGTAGTGGCACCTCCATCCCTCCCCCACGTTTTTCCTTCGGTTCACAGACTCACTTGGATGAATTAGAGATCTATGAAGAAGCGGAGAAAAAAAGGGTTCTTATGTCAGCTGACTGTCATGAATCCTTTTGATGCTCGCCTTCGCAGTTGTTTTGTGCACTTTGGGGCCTTTGTGCGAAACCATTTGATCACAAAATGTCAACTTTCGCCCCGTTTCTGGGTTGTTTTTTTCAGTCTGCGAAGACTTTAGCTAAAGATGATTTTGTAGTCGACAATGAGAGTATGTGGATTGGAAGAGGGTTTAATGGGCAATTGCCATCTCCGATTTGATGGCTGATTGATTGCCTGTCATCTGGCCTGCCTTTGATCTATTCATTCCCGATAAACATCAATAAATCACTCCCCATGGCAACGCCGGCCTACGTGACGTCACGTCTGCTCTGACAACTACACCATTAAAAGAGCTTTAATTGTGTCTGTATTGTTTCACTTTGGGCTATTGAACTTGTGTACTACCGACCAGTTGTGAAAAACATAACTCATAAACAGTTATTGTCGATAGAGTAGTTGGTGTGTTATTATCTGCATGCCTGCATAATTAACTGTGCTTCATTACGGTATTTAGAAAAGTAAATAATAGTATAGTAGTACTTGTAACTTTAGCCGTGAGTTTCAGATTTTTTTTCGTAAATCATTAACACGCATTCCTCATACAAGCTGCTGCTGAGATGCTAACAAATCACGAAATAATTCCATATTAAACCGTCACAGAAAGCATTTTTTGTCTGATCGATGAATAACTAGATTAGCTAACAACCGTAAAATGCAGGTTTAAAAGAAAAAAAGCTCGCCTTACACAGTGTTTTGTTTTTGTTTTTGTGGTTTGTTGGGACCACCTTTCGACTGCATTTCTATAATTTTTATATACACATTTTGCTTCTCCCAAATTAAATCCTTTAAAATAAACTCAAGCTGGTGAACTAGAAGTGTCTGCAATAAAGCGAACCCACTGTGCCCTCTCTCTAATGTTTTTGGTTACATGATAGAAGAATAACAACCCCCCTTATGTTTTTCAGTACAAGGGATAATTTTAGTGGATGCTATAACATTTCTATGAATTACACAGACAGAGCTCATATCGAAAACTTAACTCTAAGACTAATAGTAGATGGAAGAATGGTTTTGCTCCATCAAAATGACCCGTCAAAATGACTTTGTTTCATATTTGATTTGATTGTCTCTCCCCTGACAGGCACATTCATCAATAGCTTAATGGTCAATCAGAAGTTGGCAGAGTGAGTGCTTTCATTCTTTCCCATACGCTGGCTTAGGCTTTACTTTATCAAATGCTTTTGCCTAATGGATATGGGGATGAAGAATGACTGAAGGGCTACTTATTTAAGAGGAACGAAAAAAATAAAGCAGTTATGCTGTTGATGGGTGGATGAAGACAAATAAGTGAACTGTGAGAGGGTTTTTATTTTGAGTCACAGCAACTTCCTGTAATCTTCCCCCCCCTTGTGCCGGCCCTCACAGCTGCAAGTTATAAGGTTCACGACTGCTTTGTGGCACACAAAGAGTGATGACAAATTGATTGCTTTGTAGTGATGGAAAGAGCAAGAAAAGATGTCAGACGATGGGGCTTGATTAGGAACTTTGGGAAATCCAGTCCCCAGCAACCTTGAGAATTTCATGAGAAATTCTTTTTTTTTCTCCCCCAAACTGAAAGGTCCGCTCAGCCGTATAAAAAGAAAAGTTGTTTTGCCAGCTTCATTAGTGTTCACCTAATTAGCTGTAAACCTGATGGATTCCTGACAGCTTTAATGATTGGAGATGACAAGCTCCGCGCACTGTCATCCAGCAGAATTAGGTTTGCAGCTAGTTTGATGTAATCAAGTTGATATTACACAGTCCTGCTTGCCTTTAGTTGTGCATTAACTCAATTTTCTGCTGCAGGTGACAAATGGGCTTTGGTACCTGGATAATCATGTCATAGGAATTAGGGTGCTTTTAATGGTCTGGAGTAGAATAACAACAAAGAACTCTCAACAGTGCTCAACCAAGGAGACATAACAGGCAGGTGCACAAATTCTTTCTGTCTAGCTGGGCTGCGAAGGAACACTCCATTCAAGAGCCAGCAGCACGGAAAGCACAATTTCTTGTTTTTGGGCTTCAAAGTCCACAAGACCAAATCTAGTGAACATTTGATTACACAATTATAAGAGCATCTTGCATTTAAACCTTTTTTTCCCCCAAAATGGAATGTAGCAAGTGTAAGCAAAGCAGCAGTTAAATCAGGTTTATTCTGTAAAAGAAGATGAAATCTTTGCAAAGTGGTGTTTTTATTTTTACTGTGTTAGGTACTTTAGGTAAAGTGTTAGGTACTTTAGAAAGTGCTATCACGATTTAGCTCATTTTAAAATCATTTGTCTTTAAGGTGTATGATAATACGAGTGTGTAATACGATTCTTTTACTATTACTGTAAATAATACATTTTGCTTTCTTTATAACATGCCCAGTTAAGGTTTAACATGCATGGTTAATTGATTAAAACCAGGCAAACTCACTTAGGCAAACAAAAATATGTATTTTATTAACATCAGAAACTATTGTCTAACTATGCAATTGTAAGACCTACACTTTTTAAGAGAAATCTGCCAGTCTGGATTAACATCTAATTAGGACAAATGTTATATTAAGGTGTAACAGGCCCACACTCTATCCAAAGTAAGGATGGCTTTAAAACATTCCTGCTATAGAAGAAAATTATTGATATGATTGCTCTAAACGGTTCACATTTGAGTTAGTACAAACTAATTTAACAAAAGCTCTTAACATATAATATGTTGTAGTGAATTAAGGTGGAAACCTGGAGATGCTAAACAAAAACTGTTAAATTGTTTTCAGTGTGTGGAGATGTTTGGTTTTGTTAACACTGATTGATAACACCAAAGAGAGCAAATAAAAAATCAGCCTTAAATTATAATACGATAGACAATGCCACAAGACAATACCACAGAAACATTCTTTGTAATTGCATGGGTCTTGAAAAATGCAGATCTGAGAACTCAGAATGGATGGAGATTTTTTTTTTCTGTTGGCCTTTTTCACATGAAAGCATTTGTCCTGCTTGCATGGACATCTGCAATTTCTCAATAAGTCATGCAAGCTACTGGTGGCTTCAGTCAGTAGCCAGTAGCCCTGAGCCTGTTCCACCTACAGAGGTACTTGAGCTGAGCCTTTTCTGGATTATACTTCCCTACAAACCTGCCACACATTACTCTCTTGGACAGAGATTCTCCCTAGCAGCCAGCTGACAGAATGATTAGTTATGGCCGTCCTCTGCTTTTTTTCCTGCAAGAAGTGAACAACAATGAAGGGGGTTAAGAGGGAAAAAAAAGAAGAAAAAGAGAGAGAAAGAGAACATAACAGCCAGAGAGGAGGGAAAAGTTTCTTGAGAATCTCCAGTTAATAAACAGAATTTTCCAGAATCTTCTGTCATTGCTCCCATTAGCTTGACAGCTGTCAATTAGAGCCTCACTGCTCTCCAGGGCCACAGTTTATTGCGTGCGGTTGATGCTGTCATTTTGTTCTCAGTTTTGCCTTGAGCATTATCATGAGGGGGAGTGAAATAGTCAATAACTGATGTATCAGCAGTTATTTCGTAAATTGGCTCACAAGCCTGCATCCTCCCTCTTTCTTTTCTTTCTCTTTTCTTTAGTCAAGATTGTTTTGTGAAGAGATTACAGTGAAATGGGACTGCGACAGGGTTGGGTGGAAAGCAGCACAAGCAAGGTAACCTAGCAATGCCAGGCAAGTTTGCTGTGTTTGCTGCTTTGGACCATTCAGAAAGACCTTTCGTTTCTTTCCACTCATTACTTTATGAAAAAATTCCTTTGTGCAGTGTGTCCTACAGTTTATGTAATGACTGGCGATGTACAGTATGATCTCCTCGACCGATGTCATCAAACTTTTCTAAAGACATTAAAGGCTTTATTACGATTAAGCCCTTGGTTAAAATATTTTCTTCATTTTAGGATTTCAACCAGATTTCCATCTGTCAAGATGCACATCCTCTGTTATCAAGTCGGTAGCCCATTTCTGCTGGTGCGCTTTAACATTGTTGTGCAGGTCTGGCTCATCCTGGTCCTAGAGGACCTGCGTGTCTGCGGGTTTTCGTTCTGTCTTTGCTCTTAACGAGCTAAATCAGCTGGTTACTAGCTTAGCTGGACCAATGTAACACCTTCTCCCAGCATTTCAGGTGCTGCTATTTTAAAGAGACCTTGAAAACCTACAGACACACTGGCACTCCATGACCAGGACTGGATACCCCCGCTGTAGTGTTTGTCTCAGGTTTCAGTTGCATTTATTGCACCGTTGGCTACTGAAGACAATGCATCTCCTTTAAAAATCCTGTTTGCCCCTTTATTGATTACTTTTCAGTAATTTTCACTATTGGTGTCCAATTCTGTCAATTAAGACAAGGTGGACATCTCTGTTTGTTTAGTAAAGAATGGCTTTAACTCACTTCCTGGCCATTCCTGGACAGTGCTTGTTTACTTAGACACACACAAAAAGATTATTAGATATAAGTTTGATTTTACTATTAGTTTACAGAACTAAACTTCGCTAGAAGGTATATGGTTTGCTATAGATGAGCCCTGTTGATCGAAACATCTAAAGCCTATTGCAGCTCTTCCATGGAATTCTACCAGATAAAAATGAAAAGACTAAAACTTTGCGAAAGCCTGCACATACATAATGAAAAAATGTAACAATTCATGTAATATTATGCAGAGCAGATGACAGATGTTTTAAGAGATCCTTAAATGTTGAAATAGAAGGACGTTCCGTTTTCTCAGTAGCATAATTTCCTACCTCTGGGGGGTATTCTTATTCAATTAATCAATGATTATGAGTTATTTCGCTTAACGAGTAGAAAATAATGTCAGTATTAAGTTTGGTATTTAATATGCCAGTACTTTTGCATTATACAGGAAATAAATAAGTCACATCGTAGCGTTACCAAAAGACCAATACTCAATGTATTGTTCCGGTTCTGTAAGCTGAAGTAATAATAAAACGCTAATAGAAGTATACAGCTGACAACCGGTTTGCACCCACTTTTTTAACCATTAGATACAAGGAAGCAAATAACAAATACCAGTTTGTTATTTGGTCTGAAACCTTTTAAACAAAAGTTAAGACACCATTTCTGGTCAGTTGTTTATAACCAACGGTGTACTATTCAACAACTTCAGTTTCTTTTCCGGCCTTCTGTAACCCACTCCTCCAAGTCAGAGTCTGTTTCTGTAGGACATGTGCTGGGGGCAGCTGTAAAGGTCAGCGACTGGGTTTAGAACCTTGTAAAGTGAAATATGGCCCGGTTGAGTGATCTTTGTGTGTCGT